TCCCACGGCGATCTTGAGCTTTACGCATGCCGGATGTGGGGAAGGAAATACCAAATATCACGGCGAACTTTATTCTATACATCTAGTGAAGGGCGTGAAATGCTGCGCCTCCCCAAGCACTTACACAGAGATATTGTGTCATATGTAACGTGGAATATACAGGAGCCCGTTGTCGAATAATTGTGGAAGCTGACTGCGGTGTGGGGTTTTTCGCAGTGGAGGTTGTATACGTCCCTCTGTCGCTTATGCGTCCAGCTGTTCGTAGTTCCTAAAAACCACTTGTCATCAAAAATAATTCTGTATTCAACGCAGATATAGGAGTGCGTTGGAGTGATCGGTTAGAGAGGACTCAGTCAGTTGTGAAAGTGAGCCTACTGGTGAAAGACAGAGAGTAACACTAAAGAAATTAACAAAAAAAACTTTGTGTGTTGCGTTTCTTATCGGTGGTAATTACACACTGCCCAATGGCTGCAGGCAAGGGAAATATATATAAACTAAAAATAAATATAACGACACTTAGCGGTTAGGTTCCGCCTACGCCTTTTATCTCGCAGTAATCGCTTTACTCTGTATGAAAGCATAGGTAAATTAAAAAAAAGAGCAACCTCATTGCGTTCCGACGTAATATTGGTCACGGTAAGGGAATCACATATACCGGCACCATCGTCAAAAAAAGAACTCGCCCGGCTTCGGGATTGAACCTGAATACAGAGTGCCTGCAGATGAAGCAGGTATTAACAGTGTACGGGGGGCGTACTTTTCTGTGGGGCTCGAAAAGGATATTTATATATATATCCTTTTCACAAGCTGCTCTGTGTTAGACGCGTACACCGTCGTGGTAATGGAAACCAACATGGACTAAGTAGCGCGCCCAGCCCATTCTTTAACAGCAGCATCCCCAAATCAAGGCTGAGCTGGCATGAATGCGAGTCACAACGTACACGCATATGAAGCAGAACTAGGCTGAATAAAGTCACCATGGCGGGCTTGAACAGTTGAGCTTTGCTTGTTATTTGCTATTTGCACAATACGTGATGAGCTGCTGCACAAATGAAAAAAAGAAAACAGTATACAGCCTCCTGATAATCACCAAACTTGAGTGTGTGTTTCTTTTTTTTTTTGCCATTGCTGTTGCTCGTTGATGCGCGAGCAGAGTATAGCGAGAATAGTATGCCCCCTTTAAGACCACCAACATATTTCTACATGTATGGCATCGTACATGTATGGTAAGCAAATGTATACAAATACGGCCTTCATAAACAATGATCAGCGCGTCGACCTCGAGTGCTGGCTGATAGCACGGCGTTTTGTGTGGCTGGGGAGAAGGCAAGTGCTTCCAAAGCGGCACGCGATGGAGGAATGAGCCGGCATACGCAGCCCGAAGAGTGAGGCAAAGGCCCCTTCGCAGTGTCGTGTAAGGCTGTACTAACAACCACTCGTAGCGTCAAAAAGGAAAACAACGAGAATGTCTGCGGGGACTACGCAGCCAACTTTTAGAGCTGTAAAAGCTGCTGAGAAATATGATGTTTGAATGCAGGGAATGCGAAATCAGTCATCTGAATGTTTATTCACCCATACCGCCGTATTTAACTTTTTTTTTGTAAAAATTTCCGAACTTCGTGGCGTGTTTTTGATGAGGAGCGAGCCGGTGATCATGTATCACGCGTAAGTTTTGCCACACATAACAGAGAGCTTTGAAAGTGACGTATCGTCAAAGTTCTCACTAAAGTTTTGCTTTGATAGGAAAATATTCACGACTGTCCCTCTATGCCTCAAACTCCCCTCCAACCTTTCACCCTCTCCTATCACTTTTTTTTTTCTTGAATTGCACACGTTCTGAGATGACCCGTGTGCCGTCAATCGTTGAAATCATCGCTCATCGTCGCTCTTCAGTATCTGAACAGAGTCTATTTAACTCACTGTGACGCTAGCGGTGCGTTTTTGCATCTCTCATCTGCACGGCTCATGCATAAGCAACAGAGCGAACTCGTCCATGGTGTCGGGACCACGAATATACCACGTCGTCTTATGATTATTAAAATGAAGAACTAGTATATTGCGGGAGTCAGTGTTGTAGTGGCGCGTGCATGATTGGTATTTTCTGCTGCGACGCACCACCCGTCGGTAAAATCAATTCGGGACGGGTGTCGAACACATCTTCCCAACGAGCGAGTTCAACGAGAACGTACGATCGCGTTCAACCGATAGCGGCCGCTTGTAACGGGCGGGTTGCATGGTCAAAACGTCGCGTTTTCTCCCTGTGGGAGAAAACGAGATACTTCTGATTGGGGACGAAAGTGCCCAGGTCAGGAGATCTGAGAGATAGCTGAGTTATCAAGGCGTGGACTCGAGGTAGTTGGTACTCCATGATAACTTCCATCTTGCGCAAAACGTTTTAGACAACAGACGAAACTCGCCCGTCCGTGTTTTGTATGTTGTCTAAAAAAAAACTTTGCACAAGAATATTTTGCACAAGAAGGTTACCAAAATATTTATTCCAAGGTGCTGAGGCTCAATTGAACAAAATATAAGAATCACTATTGCTGATGGAACACAGCACGTACAATATTTGCAGTTGCAGTAACAGTACTGCGTATAGCAATAGTCTGAAGGGGGTTCACATTTGTAAGCAGCGGGTTCGTTCACTCACTCCTCAGCGTCCGCACTTTGTTATTAAATTTTCTACCCGCTAAGCACCTAAGGTGTCGCGTAGCTCGAGCACGCAGGTACATGAGATTCCCAACAACGGCGGCCGCAATTCGATGGGGGCGAGATGCTATAGAGCACATTTGTACTTAGATTTGGGTGAACGTTAAAAAATTTTATAGGTGGTTAAAGTTAACCTGGAGTCTCCCACCTAGATTCTCCATGGTAGTCAAATTAACCTGGAGTCTCCGTGGTGGTCATATGTTGTGGTTTTGGCAAGTGAAACAACAAAAATAGATTGATTGATTGATATGTGGGGCTGAACGTCCCAAAGTCACCATATGATAATATCAGACGCAGTTGTGGAGGGATCCAGAATTTTCAATCACCTGGCGTTCTTTAACGTGCACCCAAATCTGAGCAAACGGGCCTACAGCATTTGCGCCTCCATCGAAAATGCAGCCGCCGCGGCCAGGATTCCATCCCGCGACCTGCGGGTCAGCAGGCGAGTACCTCAGCCACTAGACCACCGTGGCGGAGCAAACCCCTAAAATTAGGTAATTCTTTTTATCACCTACGCGACAAAACTGGCAAACATAAATTGTATACGCAAATATACAATGTATTTATTTTGCGTGAATAGTTATACAACTGCCGCATCGCCTTTAACAAACAACTTCATGCTTACTGCGTCACAAGTTTCAATGAGTGATCGGCTTTAAACAAGTTATTATGTAATCACACAAGCGTCGCTTATATATCAGGTAGGTTAAGAAGGAAAATAAATCTTCATGTAATCACGCTATAGAAAAAAACTGATATGTTTTATCTATGCATGGAAGTACACGATGAACTGACAAATATAGAATCGGTCGACAAATAACTTTCCAAATTTCACTCGGAACTCATTGTACAAACGCCATCATCTGTCAAAAGACAGAAAAGGTGATTCAGTGTAGAAACGATAACCAGTCTATTAAAAAGAAACAATATACACCGTACCACGGGACGAGAGGAACTGAAGTCATATTTTACAATTTCGCGCAGTATTGATGCCACCACTCTCGAAGGAAAGGCCCGGCATGTGACTTCGGAACGCCAAACAACGGAGATAACTGGAGGCTGCGGTCGAACGATCCACGTTACAAAATAGATGCACAATAAATCGACTATTTGGTTTGTTAGTTTTTTAAATTAAAGGCGGGACCAAATTACGCGATCGCTCACGCACTTATGTAACTTTTTTGCATTAAATAAACGGCAAGAAAGGCTTTTGTAGATGCACGTGTAGGCGCGTTAAAACAGCTTGTCAAATGAGGTTACATGATAGGACCCGAAAAGAAAGAGGACACAAGCGTCACAGGCCCACCTGGGTCCAACCTTCTTCTGAGTGCTATTATAGCAAAGCACACTTGCTTTACCGGCGTATAATATACAAAGAACCACAGCGCGCTGTGATATTCTATTACTGTCGCGAAAAAAACCGTGGCTATTATAGAGCTGTTCAATACTTTTACTCGTAAAAGATGTTTATATAACCTGAATTGACGTAGGCCCTCCATAATTCAGTAAAATGTTGATTGATTGACTGATATGTGGGGCTTAACGTCCAAAAACCACTATATGACTACGAGAGACGCCATAGTGGAGGGCTCCGGAAATTTCGACCACCTGGGGTTCTTTAGCGTGCACCCAAATCAAAACACACGGGCCAACACCATTTCCGCCTCCATCGGAAATGCAGCCGCCGCAGCCGGGTTTCGATCCCGCGACCTGCGCGTCAGCAGCCGAGTACCTTGACCACTATAGACCACCGCGGTGGGGCAGTAAAATGTTGAGCTTACATAGTTTCCAGTGCTTTTAGATAAAATATGAGCGGCTTGTGCACGCTATTGTGGGCCCGCGGAGGAAGAGCAAGTTTTACAAGTACCCCATCTGACAAGTACCTTGACACTACATACGTCGGTAGAAAGTTTCTAACAATCTGATTGAAAGCTTGGTCTTGTTTATAACGACACGAGAATGCGCGTTCGTTATGCAAGTTTTTTTTCCCAATACTACCATGATTCGGCAGCTATTCACACACAATCCTATACATGTAGTCACCGTGCAAAAAAGAAAGGGTGTATGGACACATCGAAACTGAAAAAAACAAAAGGTTCGACAACGAAACACAATCAAGGACACGTAAGCGAAAAGCGCTATTCGGCACCATCACCATCAGCCCTTTTTTTTTTCTTCCTGTCGACAGTAGCGAGGGGGACAGTAACGACAGCGTACAGCCAAAACTGGGCACACCGCATGCCGGCCAGTGACCAACGGTGAAGATCACCGCTACGACGGCGTAGACTCACCGAGGCCCAAGAGGCCGACGAAGATGAGCACTGCGTAGAGAAGCATCTCCGGTGGAGCTGTGATCCGGTCGGCTTTCACTCTCGCTATGGAAATGCGACGGCCGAGCGGCGCTCCTCAAGAACTGTAGGATGGCTCGCTCTCTCCGAATCTGGGTCACGTACGGTGGCGCGTTTGCGTGACCCTCGGGGGTCACGACAGGGACCTTCCTTCCCCGTCACCTCCACTGCGAATCATGCGCGGCTTTTCCGTGCGCGTGCTGAGAAGGGGCCAAGCAGGTCGGATATGGCATGCGACCACTCGAATTAACGGCATGCCGGCACGGAACTCCCGACTCCCGGCTCGTGTCACGACGGTCAACAAGCGGAGGGAAAGCACTTTCGGTTGAGATGTTGCGTGCGCGAACTCGCTCGTGACGATCAGCGCGCTTGTCTCCTCTGCTGCCGCTGGTCGCCCGTCGAACGGGCCGGCTCTCTTCGCGCGCTCTGCACATCCGCGCTTTTATTTTCAATCGTGCACTCGCACTTTCAGTGCGCTGTAGCCGATACAAAGCGGGCCAAGCGATCAGAAAACAACAGAGCGTTAATTTACTTGACATCCTCCGAATTCATTTAACTTTCTTAAACTAGCAAGGTAGCCGACGACGGAAAGGATCCTTGAAAAAGTGTGACGCATGTTGTTGGAGCTCGTCCTGTGCCCTTGCCAAAGTGCTGAACGCTGCCTCTGGCAACAGACAAAGCGGTTGCTTGCAATAAGAGCGTTAGCTCATTTGAGGGCACTTCTTTCTTTTGCGGGAGGGGTGTAGTCACGTGTTCTTTTTCGCATTTCATGGGCTTTCGTTATCATCGCAAACAAATATTAGTGTGTTCTGAAGGATCTCGGTAAACCTTTTGCCATCTCTCTGCGTTATGTATATGTCAAGAGAGAGAGAGAAATATCAGAGAGGTATGCAGGTTAACTTGACTAAGTCCAGTTTGCTACCCTACACAGGGAGACAGGGAAAGAGAGAGTAAATGAGATAGAGAGAAGCAGATACACATTGCGCATAACACACACACCGCTCACACAGTGTAGGTTTCGTCGGCGGCCGCAGTGATGTTCCTCTCAAGAATTGTAGAAATGCTCGTGTGGCTTTCTGGGCTGATGTACTTGAAGGCCACGCACCCAACATCTTCTCAAGAGTAAAGGGTCGATCATCCAGCCTCCTTAAGGCACACTGGACAGTCCGGTAATCTTCTTCAAAGTCTAGACAATAGCACAGGACACGGTTTTTATGTTATAACAGTTACACAGTTATCACGGTGGGGGGAGTCAGTCATACCAATGCGATAACAGAATGAATTGGTGAAGGCAACGCCGACCCACAACCGACACAGCATTGTATCGTATATGTTAAAGCTAGCAATGGGTCAAGGCGTAATAAATCTTGGGCGAGGGCTACATTTTGGTACAGTTTTACCCTGCTCCCAGTCAGATTTCTGTATACATTTCAAGTAGATGAAATGCCAGCATAAAAAAAAAAACATTCGTTTGACAAATGGCAGAGGTAGTCAAACAGCGGTTTGTATAATGAACGTCGCACTATATATCAAGTTAACACCACTCTGTCGATCAGAAACGCTGGCTGAAGTGGAGAAAATTCTCAAACTCATACAGATATGGGGTGTTGAAAAGTAGATGCGCTGCTTCCAGCTTATAAAGCCGTTAACGACCTAGCTCATGGGTTTCAGGCTGACGCACATGGCAATACATCGGTAGTGCAGTGGGATGACCGTGACAATAAAGATCTCCTTCTTTCATTTGAGACATCGCGGGATCAATAGCGACGAGACGTTGTGGGTACACACCATCCTGACTGACGTGAAAGGAAGTGACCTCAAAGCGTGGTTTTAGGACAAAAAAAAAACTATGGACCATCTGCTCGACGAAGCCCTGATGGGATGCGAAGCAGCATCGATGCGCACAGCGTTGATCCGGTTGAAACAGGCGTCGACACGGTGCTGGACGAACGGTTTGAAGCGAAACTTGGTGTAGCGTTCACTTGAGTAAACCTTTGTTTGAAACGCAAATACACGGGAGGCGGGACGCATTGAAGACGCTTGCGTTTGGCTTCCTTGACTCGCGTTTCGTCGGTGTCACCCACGCGCCGACTGTATCTCGAACGCGATTGGTGTTCTTGACTCGCACCTCGTGGGTGTTGCTGGTCTTCCACTGCCGACGTTTGTGTTTGCCTTCCCTGGATCGCGCCTCGTCGGTGTTGACGTCGCCATTCCCGAAAGTGATCGGCTTCGCTAACAATGGTAACACCGGCGACAGTTGGGAAAGGTACGTGCACACTAGCGAGGAACATGCTGCGACGGTTCCCCGCCCGTCGGCGCGATCACGCCCGTCAGCACGCTGTCCACATTGTCGGCGCCGCGACAATGTGGACAGCGTGCTGAGGCACGCGCACCCGCCGGCTCGCGGCTTCTTATCGCCGACAGATGGAGTGAGGTGGCGCGGGTGAGATGATGCCCACGTAAGAAGTGGGCTCGAGTGTTGAAGAGAGTGAAGTGAGAGAGAGCTGACACGCGGCGAGCGTGTGGAAAGCGAGGGAGAGATACGTCACCACGCACTGCTAGGAGGACGTGAGCTACTTGGCACCGCTGCAACACCTACGGCCAGGGTAGTGGTGCGGACAGAGGGACAGCGTTATACAGGCTAGTCAAAGAGCTGCGTTGCATCTAAAACCCCATACATTATTCTTATACTAGCAGCCCGCTAACTGCACGAGGCCAGGCGACAACGTTTTGCATGGTACATGTCATCTGCCCGGTTTGCTACCCTGCACAGGGGGAAAGATTGAAGGGGAGAAAAGAGATAGGAGAGAGGAAAAAAGATACACACAATCACGAGCACTTTCGGGAAAGTACACGTGGTCGCTCAAGTTTGTTCTGTTCAAGTACTGTTGTAGCGCTTTAGTCACTTTCTGCGTTATTGAGGTACACGCCCAAGGTCACAGAATCTTCTGCACAGAGAATGGTCTAGAGTCCAGATCATTCAAAACCATTCGAAGCTGGCATCGATGGGTGTCGTAGCAAGCGTAGCTGCACAGGACGTGTTCGATGGTCTCTTGAGCTCCGCAGAAGTCGCATGTAGAAGTGTGCCATACTGCTTGAACTGTATGGTCTTCAAGTTATTGTCCTCTGTTCTGCATTTATTCTCCCTAAAATTTCTAGCATATGTGCCTCAACTTCTGTGGCGCTGCTCATTACAACACGTGAAGAAGAACGGCGTCGATAAAGAAAATGGCTATAACACGTAAGTGTTCGCATTGAGCTCGATGCGCTATAAATATACTATACCACTTAGGGGAGCGTGCGTCACATGAATAGTGCACTAATACGCCTACAGATAATCCGCTTAAGCAGGAACGTTGAAATATGTGAAGCGAGAGAACTACCTTTATGGATGAACATATGCGTGCTTAAAAGGAGGAGGAGGAATAAACGTTCATTTTTCAAAACGGCGTAGCGGTGTATATATATGGGTTCCGCGTTCACCCTAAGTGGGAGGTCTCCTCATTCCAGGAACCCTTTGGCCTTCGCTGCCTCCTTGGCCCTAGCGACGAGACGTCATTGTTGGTCCAGGACCTTCAAGGCGAGCTTGGCCTCCCACAGCGTTTAAAAAGAAAAAAAAAGCTGCATTACTTTCCAGGTTCCTGAACACGCACTATAGTCTCTTGAACATATAGCGCGTGAACCTAAACAGTCGCACAAGCTGTATAAACGTGAAGTGCAAATGCACGTTCCACAGCTTATCCCTGCTTATTCATGACTACACAGATTGATGTCGACAGTGGAACATGTTGTCTCGAGCGCGCTACAGGGTAATACAAAGGTATTCGCTAAACCATCTCCCACCCCACCCCTCTTGCCCATGGCCTTCGCAGACATGTTGTTCCAATACAAGCTCGATTCGCTGGAAGAAAGAGAAACAAAGATTACAACAAGTACGTCAGAAGGTAGGTCAGACGTAGCAGCACTTCTAAATCACGAGAGAGACACATTTTTTTTAGTGGCGTGTATATATTACCCCACGCGGCTCGCGAAAATAGCGCACGTCGAAATGCACACAGCGTGTGGCGGTGGCGTCCCCAATCGCTCTCCTGCTACGCAAACCTCGCCAAGTGTTTCCAACGTGGCGGCTGTGCAGCGACTCCCAGTCCTTCTCGTGAAGCAGCTTTCGTTGCTCGGACGATCAGAAAGAAGCATAATATGTGGGTCGGCGCATCGCGGCGACGAAGGGAACTCGACGCGCTACACGGCCAGGTATAGACCGGGCGGTAGATGACGTGTAATTCTCATCTTATACAGCATGGCGGCCCAGCACTCAGTACATGTGTTCCGTGCTATACAATTTCTACAGAGGGAACGCAAAGGCCATGTCACATACCACGTCAAATATGTTCAGCTGATGAATTTGCCTACCATTTGGCATAAATCCGTTGGGACAAGAAAAGTACGGTCATCTTAACTATAGAAGAAGGTAATAACAATGGCGACCGCCAGCTGTACGCGACGCTGCCGTTGCAATACTCGTTACAAGCGACAATTCTTCTGTTCTACGATCAGTTACTATCGTTCCAGTTGTCGTTATATCGCCAACAAGAGTGTCACTTTGCTGCAAAGTAAACTTGTGATGCAACAAAATTTAAACAATGTGTGAGTTCCTGCAGGCATTCATTTCTGAATCTGTTGTTTTATCGCTGGAGGTAGAGCAATAGAGAAGCAGGCTTCAAACACTCCACCCTTACTACTACTACTACTACAAATAATAATAATAGTAAAAATAATAATAATAATAATAATAATAATAATAATAATAATAATAATAATAATAATAATAATAATAATAATAATAATAATAATAATAATAATAATAATAATAATAATAATAATAATAATACACTTCCCACCGACTACTCTGCCCCCATGCCACAATGGCTCATGTCGGGAAGCCGCAAGCGTGGCAGTACAAGACGCAACTACAACGATGCTGCATCGGATAATTGGTCATGCACCCTTCTGACTTACCCGCTAGCCAAAAAAAAAAATCATATCTCTTAGTAATGAGGGGTTGCGCAGCAAGCAAAAATAATTTTCTAAAATCAATAACGC